GTATATCAGTATGTAGTGTCTCTACTTTAAAGAGTCCTCTCCTGCTGATGTTCAGGTGTTATATCAGTATGTAGTGTCTCTACTTTAAAGAGTCCTCTCCTGCTGAATGTTCAGGTGTATATCCAGTATGTAGTGGTCTCTACTTTAAAGAGCCCTCTCCTGCTGATGTTCAGGGTATATCAGTATGTAGTGTCTCTACTTTAAAGAGTCCTCTCTGCTGATGTTCAGGTGTATATCAGTAATGTAGTGTCTCTACTTTAAAGAGTCCTCTCCTGCTGATGTTCGGTGTATATCAGTATGTAGTGTCTCTACTTTAAAGAGTCCTCTCCTGCTGATGTTCAGGTGTATATCAGTATGTAGTGTCTCTACTTAAAGAGTCCTCTCCTGCTGATGTTCAGGTGTATATCAGTATGTAGTGTCTCTACTTTAAAGAGTCCTCTCCTGCTGATGTTCAGGTGTATATCATTATGTAGTGTCTCTACTTTAAAGAGTCCTCTCCTGCTGATGTTCAGTGTTATCAGTATGTAGTGTCTCTACTTTAAAGAGTCCTCTCTGCTGATGTTCAGGTGTATATCAGTATGTAGTGTCTCTACTTTAAAGAGTCCTCTCCTGCTGATGTTCAGGTGTATATCAGTATGTAGTGTCTCTACTTTAAAGAGTCCTCTCCTGCTGATGTTCAGGTGTATATCAGTATGTAGTGTCTCTACTTTAAAGAGTCCTCTCCTGCTGATGTTCAGGTGTATATCAGTATGTAGTGTCTCTACTTTAAAGAGTCCTCTCCTGCTGATGTTCAGGTGTATATCAGTATGTAGTGTCTCTACTTTAAAAGAGTCCTCTCCTGCTGATGTTCAGGTGTATATCAGTATGTAGTGTCTCTACTTTAAAGAGTCCTCTCCTGCTGATGTTCAGGTGTATATCAGTATGTAGTGTCTCTACTTTAAAGAGTCCTCTCCTGCTGATGTTCAGGTGTATATCAGTATGTAGTGTCTCTACTTTAAGAGTCCTCTCCTGCTGATGTTCAGGTGTATATCAGTTGTAGTGTCCTCTACTTTAAAGAGTCCTCTCCTGCTGATGTTTCAGGTGTATATCAGGATGTAGTGTCTCTACTTTAAAGAGTCCTCTCCTGCTGATGTTCAGGTGTATATCAGTAATGTAGTGTCTCTACTTTAAAGAGTCCTCTCCTGCTGATGTTCAGGTGTATATCAGTATGTAGTGTCTCTACTTTAAAGAGTCCTCTCCTGCTGATGTTCAGGTGTATATCAGTATGTAGTGTCTCTACTTTAAAGAGTCCTCTCCTGCTGATGTTCAGGTGTATATCAGTATGTAGTGTCTCTACTTTAAAGAGTCCTCTCCTGCTGATGTTCAGGTGTATATCAGTATGTAGTGTCTCTACTTTAAAGAGTCCTCTCCTGCTGATGTTCAGGTGTATATCAGTATGTAGTGTCTCTACTTTAAAGAGTCCTCTCCTGCTGATGTTCAGGTGTATATCAGTATGTAGTGTCTCTACTTTAAAGAGTCCTCTCCTGCTGATGTTCAGGTGTATATCAGTATGTAGTGTCTCTACTTTAAAGAGTCCTCTCCTGCTGATGTTCAGGTGTATATCAGTATGTAGTGTCTCTACTTTAAAGAGTCCTCTCCTGCTGATGTTCAGGTGTATATCAGTATGTAGTGTCTCTACTTTAAAGAGTCCTCTCCTGCTGATGTTCAGGTGTATATCAGTATGTAGTGTCTCTACTTTAAAGAGTCCTCTCCTGCTGATGTTCAGTGTATATCAGTATGTAGTGTCTCTACTTTAAAGAGTCCTCTCCTGCTGATGTTCAGGTGTATATCAGTATGTAGTGTCTCTACTTTAAAGAGTCCTCTCCTGCTGATGTTCAGGTGTATATCAGTATGTAGTGTCCTCTACTTTAAAGAGTCCTCTCCTGCTGATGTTCAGGTGTATATCAGTATGTAGTGTCTCTACTTTAAAGAGTCCTCTCCTGCTGATGTTCAGGTGTATATCAGTAGTAGGTCTCTACTTTAAAGAGTCCTCTCTGCTGATGTTCAGGTGTATATCAGTATGTAGTGTCTCTACTTTAAAGAGTCCTCTCCTGCTGATGTTCAGGTGTATATCAGTATGTAGTGTCTCTACTTTAAAGAGTCCTCTCCTGCTGATGTTCAGGTGTATATCAGTATGTAGTGTCTCTACTTTAAAGAGTCCTCTCCTGCTGATGTTCAGGTGTATATCAGTATGTAGTGTCTCTACTTTAAAGAGTCCTCTCCTGCTGATGTTCAGGTGTATATCAGTATGTAGTGTCTCTACTTTAAAGAGTCCTCTCCTGCTGATGTTCAGGTGTATATCAGTATGTAGTGTCTCTACTTTAAAGAGTCCTCTCCTGCTGATGTTCAGGTGTATATCAGTATGTAGTGTCTCTACTTTAAAGAGTCCTCTCCTGCTGATGTTCAGGTGTATATCAGTATGTAGTGTCTCTACTTTAAAGAGTCCTCTCCTGCTGATGTTCAGGGTGTATATCAGTATGTAGTGTCTCTACTTTAAAGAGTCCTCTCCTGCTGATGTTCAGGTGTATATCAGGATGTAGTGTCTCTACTTTAAAGAGTCCTCTCCTGCTGATGTTCAGGTGTATATCAGTATGTAGTGTCTCTACTTAAAGAGTCCTCTCCTGCTGATGTAGGTACTTTAAAGAGTTGTATATCAGTGATAGTATGTAGTCTCTACTTTAAAGAGTCCTCTCCTGCTGATGTTCAGGTGTATATCAGTATGTAGTGTCTCTACTTTAAAGAGTCCTCTCCTGCTGATGTTCAGGTGTATATCAGTATGTAGTGTCTCTACTTTAAAGAGTCCTCTCCTGCTGATGTTCAGGTGTATATCAGTATGTAGTGTCTCTACTTTAAAGAGTCCTCTCCTGCTGATGTTCAGGTGTATATCAGTATGTAGTGTCTCTACTTAAAGAGTCCTCTCCTGCTGATGTTCAGGTGTATATCAGTATGTAGTGTCTCTACTTTAAAGAGTCCTCTCCTGCTGATGTTCAGGTGTATATCAGTGATTAGTGTCTCTACTTTAAAGAGTCCTCTCCTGCTGATGTTCAGGTGTATATCAGTAGGTAGTGTCTCTACTTTAAAGAGTCCTCTCCTGCTGATGTTCAGGTGTATATCAGTATGTAGTGTCTCTACTTTAAAGAGTCCTCTCCTGCTGATGTTCAGGTGTATATCAGTGTGTAGTGTCTCTACTTTAAAGAGTCCTCTCCTGCTGATGTTCAGGTGTATATCAGTATGTAGTGTCTCTACTTTAAAGAGTCCTCTCCTGCTGATGTTCAGGTGTATATCAGTATGTAGTGTCTCTACTTTAAAGAGTCCTCTCCTGCTGATGTTCAGGTGTATATCAGTGATGTAGTGTCTCTACTTTAAAGAGTCCTCTCCTGCTGATGTTCAGGTGTATATCAGTATGTAGTGTCTCTACTTTAAAGAGTCCTCTCCTGCTGATGTTAAGGTGTATATCAGTATGTAGTGTCTCTACTTTTAAAGAGTCCTCTGCTGATGTTCAGGTGTATATCAGTATGTGTAGTGTCTCTTCTACTTTAAAAGAGTCCCTCCTCCTGCTGATGTTCACGGTGTATATTCGTAGTGTAAGTGTCTCTAACTTTAAAGAGTCCTCTCCTGCTGAATGTTCAGGTGTAAATATCAGTTATGTAAGTGTCTTCACTTTAAAGAGTCCTCTCCTCTGCTGAATGTTCAGTGGTGATAATCAGTATGTAGTGTCCTCTACTTTAAAGAGTCCCTCATCCTGCCTGATGTTCAGGTGTATATCAGTAGTGTAGTGCCTCCTCTACTTTAAAAGAAGTCCTGCTCCTGCCTGATGTTTCAAGGGTGTATAATCAGGATGTAGTATGTCCTCTACTTTAAAGAGTCCTCTCCTGCTGATGTTCCGGTGTATATCAGTGTGTAGTGTCTCTACTTTAAAGAGTCCTCTCCTGCTGATGTTCAGGTGTATATTCAGTATGTAGTGTCTCTACTTTAAAGAGTCCTCTCCTGCTGATGTTCAGGTGTATATCAGTATGTAGTGTCTCTACTTTAAAGAGTCCTCTCCTGCTGATGTTCAGGTGTATATCAGTATGTAGTGTCTCTACTTTAAAGAGTCCTCTCTGCTGATGTTCAGGTGTATATCAGTATGTAGTGTCTCTACTTTAAAGAGTCCTCTCCTGCTGATGTTCAGGTGTATATCAGTATGTAGTGTCTCTACTGTAAAGAGTCCTCTCCGCTGATGTTCAGGTGTATATCAGTATGTAGTGTCTCTACTTTAAAGAGTCCTCTCCTGCTGATGTTCAGGTGTATATCAGTATGTAGTTCACTCTACTTAAAGAGTCCTCTCCTGCTGATGTTCAGGTGTAATATCAGTATGTAGTGTCTCTACTTTAAAGAGTCCTCTCCTGCTGATGTTCAGGTGTATATCAGTATGTAGTGTCTCTACTTTAAAGAGTCCTCTCCTGCTGATGTTCAGGTGTATATCAGTATGTAGTGTCTCTACTTTAAAGAGTCCTCTCCTGCTGATGTTCAGGTGTATATCAGTATGTAGTGTCTCTACTTTAAAGAGTCCTCTCCTGCTGATGTTCAGGTGTATATCAGCACCTCTTTTCACCGCACACTTGGACACAAATGGACTTCCAGGCGTGCATAAGTTTAACACGAGTTTCTCTTACTTTGTTCTGCAAATACAGAAACACAAGCAAATCACTGCATTATGTTGACAAGGTCTAACAAGTGATGCATCTGGTTTAACATTCATTGACCTTCTCAAACTTTCATCAAATATACAATATCAAAACATCCCGCTGAACACACTAAATTACCATTTTCCTCACACATACACATCTTATTATTATGTTCTAAAGGTGGGTACACTACAGGCATTAGTTCATATTAGCTAGCAGGTGATACATTCACACGACACACTCTCATTTAACCGGTAAAACGACGATGAAAATGCAATATAAATGTGAATATATTGTGCTGTGTTTCAGGTGGTGAAGACGGTGGGTCTGAGGGAGGTGTGGTTCTTCGGGCTGCAGTACACCGACAGTAAAGGCTACATCACGTGGCTCAAGCTCAACAAGAAGGTGGGAGTCCCTGAACGCAACTCTACAAGACTCTCTGTGCATGTAACCCCCCTTAGACAAACTATTTCTTTCAATTTTAATTATGTATGCAGCTAAATGCATCCCCACAACTTGAAAACACATGATATTTAAATGATGTACAGTAAAGACTCCTGTGGTTTGAACTGTAACTTGCAAGAATGTTTTAGAAGTAGTTTAAAATCTTACTTTAATATTCTGAGGCTTTAATCCAAGCTTTAGTGAAAACATGTTTTTTGAAATCCTCCTGAATCTTAATTTATTCTAATTTGATGTACTCCAGACTTACTCATACTGTATGTTTCCCTGCTGTAGAGACATGTTAATGGTGAGAGATGTGTGTGTTTGCTCTCCAGGTGACGCAGCAGGACGTGAAGAAGGAGAATCCTCTGCAGTTCAAGTTCAGAGCAAAGTTTTTCCCGGAGGATGTTTCTGAGGAGCTCATCCAGGAGATCACACAGAAACTATTCTTCCTGCAGGTACTGTGCAACTGACGGATCACTGTAACGGTCATTATGTTGTGGTGTTGAGGTCAACCCAAAAAGTACTAACACCGGGATGATGTGCATCGAGGCGGTCAAAAAAGCCTTAACCGCTATGATATACTAAGACAAAATGATCTGTTACACTGCGTACCGACGGCTGGAAATGCAGCAACTGCAACGTAACTTAAAATGACGACAGCACAGATCGAGGGTTCTGTAACTGTCCAAGTCTGTTCACAGTTTCTTTTCACAGTCTTTAAACACTGCCAGTGCCCAAACTGTGTTAGCAACGGTCTGTTCACAAAAGATAGCAGACCTCTGGAATGTCCAAATGGATCAATCAGAATCAAATAATCACCCAAGCCGTGTCGTAAATCCTAATAATTGAACAGCGGTTTTCTATATGTGAAAGCGGGGGTGACGCTCATGAACTGTTAGCGCCAGGGTTACGGCCCCTACACACGGCGGCGTGCGTTACCGCTTGGCGGTGGGCGTGTCTGAAGCTTGGGGATTTTTTACGAACAACGCGACCAACAACCAATCACATGAATGTCCCGCCCCGGACATACAAAGCAAATCATTCATGCTACATCGATGCTGGCTAAATATACTGTCTATGCTTGCTAGCTGTCCATTCAAACGAAGTACACTGGATATAAAATCCCCAAACAGGCGAAAACCTACCAGTTTCACCCACTGTCTCTGCCACCTCACCCCATGCCTGGCTCCTCCGGTTTGTATCCCTATATGTAAAGAGGGACTGGTCATATAGTACCGCCACGATCTTTTTCTCCTCCATTTTTTTACATATGGGAAATAACTGCGGTCTGACTCTCCCAACATACACGCGGTTTGATTGGCTAGCGCTCAGATTTGCATACGCGGGATTTGATTGGCCGACGCCTCCGTCGAGGCGGCAAAAGTAGAACATTGCTCTACTTTTGCAGCGAGCACCGCGAGAGAAGCTACGCTTTGCTCCCACAATGCAGTTCGGCGAATCGTGACGTCACCCCATTCAAAGTGAATGGCAGAAGCGTTGAAGCGGCAACGCACGCCGCCGTGTGTAGGCTCCGTTATGCATGCGCACTGCACCTCGCGGGAGCGCGCCACAGCGTAAAGCACTCACAGACATTTCAATGATTTGCACGCCAAAGTTAGGTTTGGAAACAATATCATCTCCTTTTTGTCGGGCATGCATAACACCGGAGCCTCGCTGCGGGGAAGCTTTGCCGCTGTTCTGAGTTTGTTCTAATCTGTCAAAATGACGGACTGCTTTCAGATTTTTCCGTCATTGTTAAAAGAAATCGGTCATAGACGGAAAATATTCGGTTAACGCGACCTCTGCTGTGTTTAGCAATTAACATATAACTGTTGGGATCTTTTTTTATAAATGATAAATGTTAGAAAGCTATATATTTTTTTCAATTTGTCAAAGTTATGCTATGCAGCTATGCTTTAAAATCAATCAGAATCAGAATACTTTATTTAAAATGTTATTATTTTGTGTGAACGTCTTCTCCCTGCAGGTGAAGGAGGCCATCCTGAACGATGAGAACTACTGTCCTCCAGAGACCGCCGTGCTCGTGGCTTCCTACGCCGTCCAGGCGAAGTACGGAGATTTCAACAAAGACCTTCACAAGCCGGGCTACCTGGCCTCCGACCGGCTACTGCCACAAAGGTACACACGCACGCACGCACGCACGCACGCAAGTATTCACACTATACTATACTGTGTTTGTGGGGAGGATCCACGTTTTAATTATTGATCCCCTTACCCCTAAGCTATGTGAAAATTGAAACGTTTTACATAAATTAGCTGTAAGGGATGGTCCAGTGAATCCTAAATACATGTTTCTCTGTTGAAATACAACCCTGTCACTTTAAGACTTTTCCCAATGTTAATTAGGGGGGATCAAGAGAAATATAGGGAAATGGTATGCTGACAAAGGGCTTCACATTTTGCATTTCATTCATTCATACACCTTCATTTGTGTGGTCTTGTCACCAGTTTTGGGTTCCAGTGTCCTGTACAAGAATATTATCAACATTTAGAAATGAGAAGCCGGTGGAAAATAACAGCGAATACAGTTTATTTCAATTTCCAAAGAGACTCTTCATGCAGTCTGCAAGTGGCCCAGACTCACTCAGACCACCGACAGAAACACTTGATACAGGTCTCAAAGTGTACAAAGACACTGGCAACAGCTAACAGAGAAAACATACTGAGGTGTTTATTGAAACATTTCCTTATGCACTTCTTTGTAGAGTTCTGGAGCAACACAAGCTGACAAAGGAACAATGGGAGGACAGAATACAGAGCTGGCATGAGGAACACAGAAGCCTGCTCAGGTAAGAGAGTGTGAAGAGGAGAGAAATGACTGGTTAATCAAAGCTTGAAGACATTGATGCATAGTGTGTGTGTGTGGGTGTGTGTGTGTGTGTGTGTGTGTGTGGTGTGTGTGTGTGTGTGTGTGTGTGTGTGTGTGTGGTGTGTGTGTGTGGTGTGTGTGTGTGTGTGTGTGGTGGTGATGTGTGTTGTGGTGTGTGTGTGTGTGTGTGGTGTGTGTGTGTGTGTGTGTGTGTGTGTGTGTGTGTGGTGTGTGTGTGTGGTGTGGTGTGTGTGTGGTGTGTGTGTGTGTGTGTGTGTGTGTGTGTGTGTGTGTGTGTGTGTGTGTGTGTGTGTGTGTGTGTGTGTGTGTGTGTGTGTGTGTGTAGGGAGGATGCAATGATGGAGTATCTGAAGATAGCTCAGGATTTGGAGATGTACGGTGTAAACTACTTTGAAATAAAAAACAAGAAGGGCACAGAGCTTTGGCTGGGGGTCGACGCGCTGGGACTCAACATCTACGAGCACGAAGACAAGTAACCCACACACACACACACACACACACACACACACACACACACACACACACCGCATCCACTACAAACTCCTGGTCCTCACATGCAAAGCCCTCCACCATCTGCCCCCCCCTACCTCACTGACCTCCTCATCCTCTACCAACCCCCCCCCGGTCCCTCAGATCCACCTCAGCCGGTTTCCTTTCCACCCCCAAGGCCAAACTCCGGAGCTTTGGCGGACAGAGCCTTCTCTGTGGCAGCCCCGAAGCTCTGGAACTCCCTCCCCCAAGACCTCCGTGACTCTGAGTCCCTCACCCTGTTCCAGTCCCGCCTCAAGACCCATCTCTTCGCATCAGTACACTCATAGCCCCCCCCATCGATCCCTGTCTGTCGTTCGTCTGTCCTTCTCCCACACCCCCCCCCCCCCCCCCTCCAAACTGTAAAGCGACTTTGAGACTATGAAAAGTGCTATATAAATTCAATTTAATATTATTATTAAGTAGAACAGCTTTATTTTAAGAGGTTGTGAGACATTGCTTGGGTCTAGTTGATGTTATCAGCATGTCATAAAAAAGAGGAAGAAAATGAAACCACAACGCCCACTCAAATAGTTTATTTTAGGAAGATAGCCTGCTGCAGTAAGTGACAGCAATATACTTTACTAAGAGCAATACATCTCTTATACATGTGTATTAAGTGGCAACATGTATCAACCAACAAATTCTTATTTTGATATCTAAAACAATTAAATGAAAGTTGGGCTGAGCATTGGAGACTGGACCAAACAAGTGGACTTCATTTATTGAATGGGCTGAGCTGAGATTGACATGATTTTTATGACTGAAATGTAATTCAATCCACCTTAATGTGATGGTGTTGGTCACATAGGACTGACTTCCTGTTTACAGTAGGTGCGCTATGACTATGACTCAACATTGACCTGCCTAAATCCTGAGGCCAGGTTTATTATCAAGCACACAACATTCGGATCAGTGAGGAGAATGTGCTCAGAAGTTGCACCAATATCTTGTATCATGGCGAGTGTCTCAAGCTACTTTGCATGTAACAGTAAACTTTCAAATCAAATCAAATCAAGTTTTATTTATATAGCACATTTCTAAACGATTTTTGGTCGAGCCAAAGTGCTGTACATAAAATAAAAATAGCCTACAGTAGAGACACTTTACAGCAAATACAACAGCACAGATTGTTCAAAATATCAGTATGAGAAAAACGACACCCTCTGTCCTTAGACCCTCTGTCCTTAGACCCTCTGTCCTCAGACCCTCACATCGTACAAGGAAACACTTCCAGAGAAAACCCACAGTTTAAAGGGGAACATGGGAGAAACCTCAGGGAGAGCAACAGAGGGAGAGATCCCTCTCCCAGGACGGACAGACGTGCAATAGATGCCGTGTGTAAATCGAAGAGATAATACATTTTACAGCATATAGATCGAATGTTAGGAAATGCATGTGTCTGTAATAAGAAGATGAATCCACGAGGATGTCAGCTACAATCCTGTGGAAGCCATCAGGGAAGCAGCATGACGAGACCCAAGGCAGGACCGCAGAGACAGGTTCAGCCACGACCCGAAGTCCACGACTTAATCCAGAACTCAGGATAGAGGATCCAAGAGGACTACTTTGAATAACTTTTGATCCTTATGGTCTTTGAAAAGTACTTAACAAATGTTAAATTCTTTGGATTAAATCTGTAGAGGTTAAAGTACGGAGCCTGTAAATGGCAAAAATACATTAACGAAAAATCCCACTAAATAAAAAATTGATAACTTCCTGTTGAGTTTGGATAATAATCGCCCCAAGAGAGATATATGTTTTATTCTACTTGTGCTACAAACTGGGATTCAATACATTCAAAATGGGTTTTGTTCTCTAGTTTCCACTGTCGATTTAAAGTGTACACATTGTCAGCTTTCTGGAGGACCTTGGATTGAATTGGTTTGACAACAGCGCCCTCTTTTGGACAGCCGATGCACAACCTGAAGACAGAAAACTAAAAACACCTCAAAGCCTTTATCCTGACATTTCAAAAATATTATAGTTTTGTTTACTTTCAAGGCATGGAAATTTGCTTATAAAATTGTGTTCAAATATTTAAGAGGTAACGCATCTCCATCAATCTTTTAATCTTTAATAAAATATCTCTCCTCTCAGGTTGTCCCCAAAGATCGGCTTCCCCTGGAGTGAGATCAGAAACATTTCCTTCAACGACAAGAAGTTTGTCATCAAGCCCATCGACAAGAAAGCCCCAGTAAGTAATGTTGTGTGACTGAAGATATATATTTGTATTGAGTATATTTGAACACCTTCCATCCCTCGTATCTCCTGCAGGATTTTGTATTCTACGCCCCTCGGTTGCGGATCAATAAGCGCATCCTGGCGTTGTGCATGGGAAACCACGAGCTGTACATGAGGAGAAGGAAGCCCGACACCATCGAGGTGCAGCAGATGAAGGCCCAGGCCCGGGAGGAGAAGCACCACAAACAGATGGAGAGGTACACACGCTGCGTATTTTCTAAAATGTTATTTATTATAAGGTGACTTTGAAACATAGTTCTAGGGGCTACAGATGAAAAATTGCCTCTTGGATAACTCTGGCACATTTTCAGCATAGTTTAATGTACCTGTTAATTAAATCAATAAATACAAAATATAGTGGGCGGTTGGATTGGAAGCACCATTTTCCATTATTCCAATGTGCCCTTTTGTCTACATAATGAATTCAACATGTATATTTTCTACTTTCTTGTTTATTTCTAGTCGTTTAATTTTGATTGTACAATGCCATGTCTTTTTATGCTGCTGCAACACAAAAAAATCCCAAATTGGGATCAATAAAGTACTTCTTATCTTATCTTATAAACACTGGCACAAATACTACCTTTAATTGGTTTATATGACAGCATACACACATACGTATATTGGAGTTATTCAAATAATAAATCTGACACTGTCAAACTTTCCAGTGAATTCTGTGTGGGATTGAGTAGTTTGAGACATTTATTGTTTAACAAATATCAGCTGTTTTGTTTAAGGTTTTTGATAAAGCTCCATGGCCAGTAGGGGGCAGTGCTGCATCGAAGGACACATGCTAACATGCTAAGTACTCATGTGCAGGGCAGGAGCTGATGTTACTGTGTAAAACACCACAACCACAACATAGCTCTTTTAATGTTGGTTAAAAAAATATTATATTGTGCTGTACAAAAAACATTTTTGCTCATGACACCATACAATGAAGTTTTCCTATATCAATGTGTCAATTTAGAAAATTCCAATTTTAAAAAGTCCATAACATGCAGTTTGCTTCTGATTTTCTGGTGCATGATTAGAATGTTCACCTGCTGGCTGCTGTGACCGTTGTTTTGTGTTTTCCTGACAGAGCTCAGCTGGAGAACGAGAAGAAGAAACGAGAACACGCGGAGAAGGAGAAGGATCGGATAGAGAGAGAGAAGGACGTGCTGCTCGAGAGGCTGAGGCAGATCGAAGGGCAGACGCAGAGAGCTCAGAAAGGTACTGTGTGTGTGTGTGTGTGTGTGTGTGTGTGTGTGTGTGTGTGTGTGTGTGTGTGTGTGTGTGTGTGTGTGTGTGCGCGCATCTGTGTCTGTCTGTGAACATATACAAGTTTGAAGGAGTCTGTAATGTTAACAAATACAATAAAAAGTAAAGAAAATATAGGGTAAATTGCATATTTCACGATTTCGATGAACTTTAACTTCGCTTTGCATCGGCCAATCGGTTTGCTACTCACTCACTGCGAAGTGGACTTAACCAAAACACGCCTGTTTTGCTATCCTGGCCCCTAAATGGTGGAAGAAGCTCCCCCTTGATATCAGGACATCAGAGAGTCTCCACCTATTAGGTCCCAGACTGAAAACTCACGTGTTTCGACTGCATCATTGCTAACGATAGAAAATAAAAATAAATCTCTTCTGTCCGTAGCACTTACAAATGATTTGGCTTTAAGTGAAGGGAATGCAGTATCACTTACTCTGGTTGGATTATAGATAGGAAAGTAGCTGTGGGATTCTTGCTTTTCAGTTTGTTTCTCCATGCTCCTTTTCGAGTATGGTGTGTTTATAGAGACATGTTTTGTAAATAACTGTTATACATGTACGGAACAAATAAAAATGAAATGAAATGGTTGAATGCACATAAAAGCGTCAGCTAGATGAAAATGTAAGGTCACTTGAACATTACGAGGTGGTCTGATGTATTTCCCTGTGTGTTGGAGATTAAATCAGAGATTAAATCAGCTAGATGAATTGTAATGTTCACTTGTGTTGGGGTTTGAGGTGGTCTTAAAATCTATTTCCATGTGTGTTGGAGATTCAATTGTCAGCTAGATGAAAATGTAATGTTCACTTGTACATTATGAGGTGGTCTGATGTATATTCATGTGTGTGTGTGCAGAGCTTGAGGAGCAAACGCGCCGGGCGCTGGATCTGGAGCAGGAGAGGAAGAAAGCGAAGGAGGAGGCGGAGCGGCTGGAGAGAGAGAGGCAGGCGGCCGAGGAGGCCAAGGCAGCGCTGGCTCAGCAGGCTGTAGACCAGATGAAGAACCAGGAGCAACTGGTACCTGCTGCACAAACACACACACACACACACACACACACACACACACACACACACACACACACACACACACACACACACACACACACACACACACACACACACACACACACACACACACATACACACACACACACACACACACACACACACACACACACACACACACACACACACACACACCACACACACACACACACACACACCACACACACACACACACACACACACACACACACACACACACACACCAGTAGCCTAGGCAGAAATGAACTTTAGGGTGGGCCAGCTTTTTCCAGGAGGAAAAATGACTTTAAAGTCGGCCTGGCCTATAATAATAATAATGCCCATTGCCAAACATCGTTGTAGCATTTCCCTCCGAATAATGGTCGAAGACTTGACTGATGATATGAATTCATTGAAATCTCCAATATCAACGTAAGAGCTATAAAGACACAAAAATAACAAATACATTTAGGCTCCATCCCTATTAGAATCACTTTAGCATACTACCAAAAGTGAACTGTAAGCAGACAAACGAATTAGGACACAACCTACATGTTTATATTATAGTTAATACCAACTTTGTGCCTCTTCGGGGGGTGCTAAACTTAAACATAAACTTTATCCTTTACTTTCTCCGTCTTTATATGTAGATTAATCTCCGCTCCTTTTCTCCGTCACGTTGTTTACATAGCAACAACAACTTCCTGTCAACAGCGTAAACTCACCTTCAAAATAAAAGCATCTAAATAACACAGGAAGTTAACCTAGATTACATTTAAAACATATTTACAACTGCAACGAAAGTAACAAAAACAATGTAATATCCTTTTCAGTTTCACAGAACACAAATTGAATTATTTACAATCGTTATTTACTCTTTTATTGCAATAACAGCAACAATAGGTTGTAGCATTCAAATCTGTTCATGGACCTCGATCAGTGGTCCTCGCTTTTTTTATTTCTCTCCAACGAGTTACGCAGGTACTTCCAGTCTACATATCCATCCCTCGTAAATGTACCTTCAGCTCCTGGGCTGGGGAAATGTCTGCACATTTTATAGAAAAGCGCGTCCCTGCAGGCAGCTCTCTGCCTCTCTCACGTTACTATGGCGCGCGCCGGAACCAACAACCAGTTTTTACCGTAAATGAATTCGGTAAAAATCCAAATGTACACTGAAGCTTTCTTAGGGTGGGCCAATGAGTACACTGGGTGGGCCTGGGCCCACCCAATACACACACACACACACACACACACACACACACACACACACACACACACACACACACACACACACACACACACACACACACACACACACACACACACACACACACACACACACACACACACACACACACACACACACAGAAAAAGAAGGAGACGGTGTTTCGTTTTGTACTGCATTGCGGTTTATGTGCTGGATAATTGAATGACTTTGTGTATGGTTTGTCTTAACTATTTTTTTTCCTTATTTGATTATTATTTGTCAGACTTGTTTCTGACAGGCTCATTAAAATAAGGTCAAACCCATTACAACACCCACACACCATTCACAGCCATTCTTCTCCACTCCCACATTATTACTGGTTAAAATGACTTTACCTTGAAAGGCATATGCTAATCTTTCGATCAATCCATTAAATGTGACTTTCCTTTTAAAAACCTACATCTTTTTAATCTACTTGTACAGTACTTCCTGTTTTGTTTTTCTTCCTTTAAACCCATTTTACACTCTGCTTAAAGTGTATTACTATACATCAATTGACTTTGGCGCAGGGGCTAGAAGACAGCATGTCAACATGTACCTAACCCCAAAATATATCCATTTAGCATGTAGTCTTAAGGGGTGTGTAAGTCACCTCGGTTAAAGGCTTAAGAACAACAACATGTAGTGTAAAAACTAATAACAGACAGTGTTTCATTGGTTTAGGCTTTAATCATACGAACACAGGGGTCTGTACAAATCATATAACATGTAAGAAGAGGACATTTATCTACTATCAGTTTCTCAAATAAGCCAAGTTTTGTTTCCATATTGTCTGTTTCATATTATATTAAACTGGAAATACCGTTGAGGTTTTCAGGACTTTTGTTTGGACGCCACAATGAGCTCAATTTGTTAACTTTGTGTTGTTATTTTTGGACAGGCTGCTGAGTTAGCGGAGTTCACTGCCAAAATCGCTCTGCTCGAGGAAGCCAAGAGGAAAAAGGAAGATGAAGCAACAGAATGGCAACACAAAGTAATGTAACCCCTGTATTTACATAAATATTCTCTGCTTTTATTTTGGGATACAACAACTGGTAATCAATTCGTAATTATTATTAATATTATCATAAATTATATGATTAGACTTGTATTTTTTATTATTATACAACATTTGTATTCTTGTTTTTATTGTATTATTATTGTTATTATTATTATTGTATTCTTTAATTAATTGTATACATGTTTCAACTCACTATTCATACTGTTATTATAACATTTGTTTAAAAAGTTATTTGACTTAGATGGCAAACCTACCCAGTGCCTGTAAAAGTCTTCAGGTATTACATTGTGCTTCAGTCCAAATCTTTCTGTAGACTCACTATAAGTTTCCATGTGTGTCTTTTTGCAGGCGTTGTCAGCACAGGACGACCTGGAGAAGACCAGAGAGGAGCTGAAGTCGGCCATGACGTCTCCTCCGGCGCCAGAAAACGAGGAGGAGGACGAGGCGAGCGCCGAGGCGAGCGCCGAGCTCCTCAGCGAGGGCGTGATCCACCACAGCGAAGTGGAGCGCGTCACTGAGGCGCAGAAGAACGAGCGCGTCAAGAAACAACTGCAGGTACAGCTCAAACATTACTCTCTTTTAAAATTCTGTTGAAAATCCCGATATGATAGCATCTTCAGATTTAGATTGCTTAATTGTCCATTAAATTGGCAAGCTCTTATAGAGTGGTGCAGGGATGACGTATTTTTGTAGACCGACCCGGAAGTAAGCTGCGCAAGGGTTCCCTCGACAAAAAAGCAATGGGATTTCTCCATAGGATTTTGGAATATTGTAAAAAATAAGATCTGTGGAAAACGAACCTGTTTGATAAATGCACGTTTTGTTCAGCCGGATGATCTCCACGTGTTTACCCTACTTTTATCATTTTCGAATCATAAATCTAATCGCCATAAGCAAAATGCTAACATTATGCTATAAAGGAACTACAGCCAAGTACAGCAGCACGACTTCAACGTCACGCCAACTTAAGATCGATATTCAAAAATACAGTTGAAGCATTTGTTATAACAGTTTTCAAGAGCGCTGGTACTTGCTTTCAAGCAGAACTGGGCAAACAAACTTAGCGGGAGTGTTTACGTGTTCGGCGTAATGACATACAACGTCCTCGACAACTTCTGTAGTCCTATTCAGCCAAAAGCCTAAAAGTCGCAATACGATAGCATCTTCAGATTTAGATTGCTTAATTGTCCGTTACATTTGCAAACAGGCTCTTATTGAGATCGGTCACAGAATGTATTCTTATTTCTTTTTACTTGCTATCATGCAATCTGAATCTGAAGAAAGAACTTCAGGTACAGCTTAAAACATAATTACTTTTTTTATATATTATTCAATTTAGCATACCTTCAACATACCTTGCACATTTAATAATCACGCTAATATCGTGTAGCCCTGTGTCACATAGCAAGCCATGCTAGTGTAATACAAATGTTGCATAACGACATAATAATAATAATAACAATACATTTCATTTGTATAGTGCTTATTCTAGTGCTCAAAGACGCTTTGCATAATGCATCCAAATACTGGCTTGATACATTTAAAGGTGGGGTATGTCATTTTGGAGAAACCAGCTCGAGTGCGCTAGAATTTGAAAATACACAGCCGGAAGAAATCTGCTACTTCCTCACAGAGCCCCTCCTCCAACACACACGAACGCGCACATGACCAATGAGGGCACGAGGTAAGTTTGTGCCCAGATGGAAGGCTGACAGGCAGGTAGGCCATCCAGTTACTTTAGCCGGCTCAGATGATTGGTCGTGCTTTTTACAGCGCCACGGCTTCCACAGATGACTTTTGTTATGGATTTTTTGTCAAAGCACTTCAGATATTCATTGCTATCGGGATGTTAAGAGCATTCAATGGAATATAACAACAAGTGTATCTCGAGCCGGTTTCTCAAACGTACCTACCCCACCTTTAAGTTGATGCATCGTGGCTTATTATGACTTATTCTAAAAAATCCACCACTGATCTCATCTATATCTCTGTCTCTCTTCTGTCCAGGTTCTGAGTTCAGAGTTGGCCGAGGCCCGCGATGACACCAAGAAGACTCAGAACGACATGCTGCACGCTGAGAACGTCCGGGCGGGAAGAGACAAATACAAAACCCTGCGCCAGATCCGCCAGGGCAACACAAAGCAGCGCATCGATGAGTTTGAGTCCATGTGAGCCGTGGAAGAAGGGTGGACACCACGATGAAAATAGACCGTTTAGTCTGCCATGTCAACGCCTCACACAAACCTGCTGCCTCCCCAGGAACTCCTGATCTTATTTTTCTATCCAGGAGAAAGACCGGCTGACGGGCTTTGTAGCTACGCCAAAGCTCTGCCTAGCAGTGGTTGGCCAATCACACTGCTTCCTGCTTTTTAGAGCTCCGCCCCCATCCCCCCCAACAAAGCACACGTCTTTTAATCTGTCGGGAAAATAGCAACTAACATATCCTGGCATGAACCTGGACTTCTCCCCCCTTTTACAGTACTGACAGTTTTAAAGCTTGCATGTATGATAGTTAAACGACAGGACCTTTAGACACAACCGGAGGATTGGTTGATGTCGTGCTTTGACTCAACAAAATGAAAAGGCCATTTGTAGCTCGTCGATGTTACCGGCACGGTTTTCCGTAACGCTTTAATATCTGTACCTTCCTTTTATGTCAACAATTTAAATCATTTGTTTAAAAAAGAAAACCTGCCTTATCGTCTCATTTCCTTTCAGTCTGGGTTACTTTTTGTTGTGTTAGGAAAGTCAGACATTTAGTTATCATTGTTCTGTTAATATTATATCAGCTAATTTATTTCTTCTTCTTGAATGGTTGTCAGTTTACAAATGCTCACTCTGATGAGAAAACTAGATTTGCTTATTTTACACTGCATTCAGTTAGACATTTGTTCAAATATATATGTTGCCCCACAATAAAGAATGAATTTATATTTCTAACTTTGAATCCACAGTATGATGATGAGTCCGGACTGAGGTAGATTAGGATTCATTCATAGAAGATTTTGTGTCAGATATAAATGTTCGTAACCTGACGCCTGTGTGTCTTTAATTACTTTTCCGTTAGTGAATTATTTGACTATGCGTGAACACACAAAATAGGGAAATGGCTGAGTCACTTCTGGATTTGAACACTTATTACTGCACCACTTTATTGAGAAAAAAAGGAAACCCATAAGGAACGCATGAAAGCTTGAGTAGGGCTTTTATTGCTTACTTTTACATCACACACAAGAACAGTCAACATGTCTCATTTGGCCACAGTTTCCCAGAGTCTTTAGGTATGACAGGTTTGTTTTTCGTGCTTCAGCTTTGGGTTTCATTGCCTAAAGCTCAGTAAAGTTCAACATGCCTAAAGCACAAACATTTGAAGAGCCCCACTCCAAAAGACATGTTTTCCTACAATAATAAATACATGAAAAAAGACCAGATAAAACTTGTTTGTGGAAAAGCAATTCAGACATTTTTTTTTTTGTTGCAGTTTAAAACAATGCCCAGAAGTGTAGGTGCTTCTGACTGGGCTTAATCAATAGACCTTATTAATCAGCACAGTTGTACACATGTTTTGGAATAAAACTCTTCATCTGCCAGTAGGACACAGTGACACAGCAGCAATGGTCAAACACTTTAATATCTTCTTTTACATTTTGGTTTAATATAACCACCATTGACCTGAGCAAAGGGGAAACATTGAAAAGCAATAAACAGCATCTTACTTGGCTTTGGACCCCAAAAAAGGTGGCACTTTATTTTGTTCTGTCACAGATACAAAGCGGTATTAAAGCACAGAAGAAATAAAGATGGTATTAACTGGGATAAAACAGGGACATTGTTGCATTTTTACATTTCTTTCACATTGGATTTAAAAAAAACCTGAGTCCATTTTAGACAAAAGAGCAAGACATTACAAAACAGCAGGCTATTTGTCTAAATGAAACCCACATACATTCTTAAAAGTGTATTCAGACTCAACGAGAAAGGAGAAAAATGCCAGAGGATGTGTTCACTGTGGAATACAGGTTACAAATATTCAGTATATATGACCTTTGTGTCTGTCAAGGTATTATGAGAGCCTGCAGCATGGATTTGATCCCTGATATGTTTAAAGCAAAAAAGGGTGAAAACCTTTGCTACCGTGTTTTACAACAATGCTATTATAGTTTACAGAAGAACTCATAGGCTACCTGAAGTCACATACCTTCTTTAGAAATTAAAAGGCTGTGTCGAAATCGCATACCAATACAGGATATACACTAAACTTGGCATGACAAATGATCTGCAAAGGAATTTCCAGCGAAAACAAATTTAGCAGGAATGTCTAAGTATGAGACTATAGCTTACTGGACATACTCAACTACCCAAAATGCTGCTTTTTAGACCGTCCAATGGGAAATAGCCCAGCAGATTCAAATAATTGAACGTCATGTAAGATAATTACGATTGATGTAAAGAAAATGAGAGAGCAATACATAATGTACTGTAGATGTAAATATGCCTTAAAATAAACTGGGTAAAAAATGAAATGGGGGTAGCCTAGTTAGGCTATGTTTAATTTTAATTCAACAGTCGCACGTACCTTTAACTTTCAAATACAGTTAAGCAGATAAATTGCATTGAGTTTACCTCCTGCTGGAAATGGCATTCCTAATCTTTAATCTAGTAGAAAGTATGCAGAACATAAAGATTGAGTGTAGTATGCAAAACATTAGTAGTCCTATATGATTTCGAACACAGCCTATAGGTCGTTCTCCCAGAGGACATTTTGCAACGTCACATGAGAACAAGCACAGGTGTAAATGCTCAAATGAACAACAGCTGAATTCAATTAGCCTGCTTCGGTTTCTGGGCGCTGGTGTGGTTTACATGCTCACAGAGACACTTTAATACAACAAAGCCATTGTTAATGTAACTACTTACACCTGTGCTGAGAGAAAGACCTGTAAACGTTTGCTAACAAGCTAGCTTATTGCTACTCGAGTGGAGGTTGACGTGCAGACAGAAAAGTGTGATTTTCCAAAGCTGAAGAACTCATTCTTACTTACAGAGAGGCTTGAGAAAAATAACGGAAAGAACTGCAATGGTAAGTTTGCTGTCTCACACACACTACATACAAACACACCATGCTAGAGCACATGTTGCTAGCTAAAAAACGAACAGCTAGCTAACACCAGTAGAGCTAGTAGCCTACTGTTTGTTGTTGAAAAACATGAACCATAAAGACAGTCAAATTCATATAAATAAAGCGAGGTGGCCATTTGCTCAATCCTGAACACTGTCAAGTAACCTTTGTGGAAAAAAACAAACACAACATTAGCACAGTTAGCAACGTGTAAATCCATTTAATCAGCAATACTGACTTGAATCTCTTCTTGCAGATAAACATGTAGGCCTACAATTAGAAAAATAGCTCTTAACAAGTTCATGATAATAGAAAATATTTGTTCCCCAATACACTATTAGGGTTTAAATATCCACAGGAATGTTGACACAACACCTTTTAAGAGGTTTGTTTAGTAAAGTTGTGAGTATCTTAACCCTGTAGCACACACAAGCACACAGTGCTAGCCAGACCTACTGTATGACTGACTTAATCAGCCGTTACTTAAAGCACAAGAGAGCGTCAGAAAACCAGAAAATAAACAGACCGGCAGGAATGATCGAGGACTTGTTCCTGAGGCCAACACGGTTGAAATTACAGTACAGCCCTTGAGAAAAGAGCTTTTCAAGTAAGAGAGCTTCGAGACAACAACGAAGAAAATGTTGTGGTTTAAGCTTCCTGGGAAAGGCATCCAAAGGAGAAGAAAGCTTGTTATATTCTCCCAACCCAGTCTCACGGCATTTCGTGTTATAGTCACGACATTTATTTAATCTATTGATTCGTGTTCACCAACACGATTTTGCATTTTTTTCGTGTCACACAGAACGATTTTAAAAGCAATGTATTTTATTGGTAGTTTCGTGCCTGCACCACGTCTTTTTGTCCAGTCGGGTCTTGGAAGACCAGAAGCTGTGTGGTTCATAAAAACATTTTCTTACTCAATGTCTTACCCTAAGCCTAACCCTAACCCTTTTATTTTATATTGTATAATGTCGGAGTTTTTTTGCCATCCGCGAGGAAAAGAAATGGGGCTCAGAGCCTCAGAATACTGAAATCTGTATTTAAGAAAAAAAAATGTAATTTGTTTCAAGCACGACATACTACCATACTACCAATATAAATACATTGCTTCTAAAATCGTTCTGTGTCAGAATACTGAAATCTGTTTTTTTTTTTAAATCTCTTTTTCCTTCAAATTTGTTATTATTCACATTGCTTTTAAAATCCTTCTGTGTGACATGAAAAAAATGCGAAAGTCGTGTTGGTGAACACGAATCAATAGATTAATTTCGTGGCTATAACACGAAATGCCGTGAGACTGTTGATTCTCCTCTGTTTTAACGGCAAACACTATTGCCACGTATTTTTGCATTTCTCAACTCTCACTCCAAAGGTTTCAGAAATGCTGTTCTGTGGTGGACTGTGACACTAGCAAGGCTCCAATCTGTCTCATGAGAAATAAGACTACATCCCCTTTTAACCATATTTGTTATTTTTAACACCTTTCAACCACGGTCAGTAGCTTTTGGGCTACACAGTACCATGCTTGTATCATGCTTTCAGTTTAAAGAAACAATATCAGTTTCTGTTTCTTGCCCATTGAAAAAAGGGAATAAAAAAACCCCTCATATAAATATAGGCTAAGTACCAAAGGTGACAAAGTTTGCCACAAATACTCAAAATATTCAACTCGAAATATATATTTTTTTCATATATTCTTTTATAAAACTTATGATCTTAAAAATGTTTATAGGATACAATTTGTATCAACAAAGAGAAGTGTCATCTGGCTACTAGATATTAAGATAATCAGGCAAAAGTTAGTTTAGTTCTCCAAACAGTTCTTCAGACATTGAGATAATCCCATTGGTTGACATGGTAATGAAATAGTAGTAATACAAATATCTGTTATTATATAAATTATACTAATTATCTCTTCCGATTGTTTTAAAAAAAAATGTAGATTACATAGAGATTTGTTTAAGTGTGATAATTCAATTAATACATAGAAAAAAGCCATCTAGGCTGCCACATTTCAACAATTCATATTAGCTTACTGCTGCCTTAATAATTGTATTCTGATGACCATGCTGCTTGATGGTCAGAAATTAATTTAAAAAGATTATTACCACTTATCGTTTTTTAAATTAACCTCATGTATTTATTTACTCAACCATTAAGTTGTAATTTAACCAATGAGATAATCAGAGCCTCTGAGAAAAAGGTTTGTGAAACTAAAATCTACGATCTAAGTACAAGTATTTCCAGTGTTGTCATACTCTGAGGGAAGATTTGACTTTTAAGAAGGCGTTTTCCAACTTTCACCTGTCCTGTCTTTTACTGCAAAGCTATGAATGTAACAGAGGGGCACAAGGGAGTTATACCCTATTTGAGGGGCTGAACCTTCCCTTTGGTGTCACCACTGACAAAGGAGACCCTGTGTTTCATGCAAGACAGACATTCACACACATTAAAGGTAATAAATTAACACGTATTTTAAATTAAAATCATAAAAATACCAACAATCTTCTTCTCTCACCTAAACATTTATGGTGACCATGCTCTACTGCCACAGTCATATGATATTGAACTTTGACATGATTTAAAGATAGAACAGAAGTTGTGTTGCAAACAAAAAAAGAAGTCAGCACTGAAAGCTGATAAAGCGTGAAGTCAGCTGACAGGGCTATCCTACCAGAGGAAATAAACTCTTTTTGTGAAAGTGAACAACAGCTTGGGGTTTTCGAGTGGAGTTTTTGCTATCTTCTTTTGTGGGTGCCTCTTGAGTTTCACTTCCCTGTGGGGAAAATCCACCAAATATCAACTGATCGGCCACCTGTCAGTATACAGAGAAACCCTTGCTTCATTTGTTGAGCTAATCTGAGCATTGAATACGGTAGGAAAATATTCAAAATGTGTATTTAAGTTTTATAATTTAGTAGATTCCTTTACACACCCCAAGCTGTCATCATCTCAGTGACTGGAAAACAGAAGTATTTCACCCAGATGGAAAGTACGAATTTGAGCTATACCCTGATATGATTGCCGAAAAGAAAAGCTGCGAGAACACAGCAATAACAAAAAAGTGCAAAAAAACATAATAATTTCAAAATATGTAAATAACTTAAAATATAACAAATTAATTAATTTAAAATTGACAACACTGTCACCCTTTATGACACATTTAAAGCCTCCCTAAGCACCCCAATTTCCCTTGCTCAAACAATAAAATTAAACCCCGACTTTACCTGATCTTAAGTGCTGAAATAGCAGACATATTATAGAAAAATATGGCAATTTGGGGATCTCCCTTTACAAAAAATACCATTAGAATTAACAAGACTTCCCTGCAATAAAAGAAGCAGTCCATTAACAACTTAAGGAGCTTTGTATCTTGTGCTTTTGGTCTATGTAAGTCCAACCTGACTTGAATAACTAAGATGACCGAAGGCAGAAAACCTGCAGAAGACATCTCAGTTAAGATGAAACTGTAACTTCATTCAAGAACCGTGCTGCGATTTCTCCATCAGAATCGCAGCTGCAAGCTCCTGAGCATCCACCATATGAGAATTCCTGGTCATTACCATCCTCACTAAATCTGGCGGGAAGATGCGGCACAAGTTAACAAACACCCTCTCCCTGAGGTCCTGGTATCGACCTAAGGCAGGAGGCTCCTGGTGCTGAGGCACTGAGGGCAGGTGGCTTTTGTGGGTAGTAATGGGTGGAAGGGATAACTGGTGAACGGGTGGAAGACTTGATGCTGAAAGGCCATGCGGTGACGAATGGGTTTGCCTGCCCCAAGGAGAGTGCCAAGCCTTCTCATGGACTTCTGGAAGGCTCTGGAAAGCATACGGATCATAACAAGGCTTAGGGGACTGCTGGTAATGTGGGTCCCAGTTCATCTGATGCTGTAGTGGTGGGTTAATCACAGAGTGGTTCCTTCGGGATTGAAGTGGCGACCCCTTGTACATTTGGGAGTCCTGGAGCCCACCATCCTGCCAAACGGAGCCCATCAAATTGCGGCCAAGAGGGGAGTTCTGAACGTGGGAGTGAGCCGTTTGGGGTGACCGAGCTGAAAATTCCCCTTGGAAACTGCTCCCAAATGGATGCTGAAAGTGAGGTGGGATGTAGGCTGAAGGGGACTGGAAGGGACGAGGAGATCCATGAGAGGTAACAGAAGCTGGCAGGTCTTCAAGGACATAATCATGTTTTCTCCGCAGAGCTTGAGGAACAGGATAGCCATGAGGATGCTGGCCAAATCCAGGAGGAACACGGCTTACAGCGTGGGAAAACTGGCCAGAGCAGTGATGATGGTGGTGAGGATGGTGGTGGTGATGGTGGCACTTGTGGCCATCGTCTAACACGGGGTCAGGGGAGAAAGAGTCTGAGCTTAAGCTTCCTTCACTGCCAAAGTCTGACAGCAGCGATCCACCTCTCAGATCAGCAGGGAAGAAGCGTTCAGGACTCTGTGGCACAACCAGACCGAGGCTGGAGTAGTTCTTTACCATTGAGCTGTAGCTAGGCTCTGGAGACTCACATCTGTGGTAGGTTTCAGCCTGGCTTGGTCCAGAGGCTCCAGAAGCCCTCCCTCCACCAGTAACCCCAGGATGCTCCCAGTGGTCAAAGCTTCCTAATGACGGGGGCCCGCCTGGAGCAGGATACCCAATAACGCTGCTGCTACAGCTGCTGCTGCTACTGCTGCTTCCCCGACGCCCATCCACTTTGGACTGGATACGAAACCTGTCCTCCACGAGGTCAGTTAAGGAGCTCTGAAGGCTGGGGTTCGGCTGTTTCTTTGGGGTGCTCTGATTTGGCTCAGCCTCGGCCATTCCTACTGCTACACCGTAACTTTGGCTTTTCACTGTCAGGGCATCTTCCAGCAGGCCTCTAGAAGCTACTAATGACATTTTGGCACTGGCACGAAGCTCATCAGCCACGGCACGCTGGGGCTGGCTGCCTCTTTCAGGGTGGTAAAACTTGCACTTGTGGCCATATGTGCATTTCTTACCTAAGGGACAAAGAAAGAAAAACATTCTTTATCAATGCATTGGAATGAAAATATATCATAGCATGTTGGTTAATGGAAAACTTTCGCATCGTTTTAATCTGTGTTAATTCCATGTATTTACTAAATAAAAACAACTAGGGGTAAGAAGGCACAACAAAAAATACAGTTAATATTTTTACCATAAGGACACGGCTGCTTCCTGTGCTCAGGAATAATAGGCCTTTTCCTCAGGAAGTTCTCCAGACTGGGTCCATGTCGTCCCAAAGGGTCATCTGGTGGCATGAACCTGAATACACAAATAATAGATTAAACAGCAATCAAACATATTCCTAAACAATATATTAAATAAATAGATAAAACTGACAAATGGAGTATCTTTTGTACAGAGGGGATTTGATCAGTGAAGCAATAGTGAAGAACAGTCAAAAGATCAAAGGAACATAAATGAGAGAAATGAAAGTGTCTTATAAGCAAAAGGGAAGTCCTCAAAAAAAAAATCTGCAAAAACGCACTATGCAAATGGTAGAGGAAAACCGGCTTGGTTTTAACATCTTTTACAAGTGTCTTTTGCACTGACAGAAAATAAGTTCTTTTCCGTGTTCTAAAATAATGAACAAATTCTCCAACTGAACATCCCTAAGGCATGTGTTTCTTACTTGTCATTTACAAAAGAGTACATCAGTAGACGCTCATCAATGAATTTCTTCCACTCTGGCTTTTCATTGGCCAAGTCACGGTAGTTGTCATTGGAAACAATGATGCCGGCGGACTCGTAGGCCAGTTTGACGATGAAGCGGTCATCGTAGCAAACCACTCTGCGTCCCTGCACACGGCGAGACGGAGTGAAGACCAGAATCTTCTCTTTCTCTAGTCGCCGTAAGACGTCTTGGTCTAAAGAAAGACAGAATTCAGTTCAACAGAAGAAAAAGTAGAAGAAAGTTCCATGCTTGGGTTATTGAATGAATAAAAACGTTAGCAATTGTTACCTGTGATAAGAGCATCGGGGCGGGACTGCTCTTTTCTCCAGGCAGGGACAAAAACAGTTATGTCTCTGTGGCCTTGCTCCAAAAACCAATCAACAGCAAGCTGGATGCCTTGGCAGGAGAATACCTCCTTATTTCCATGACTGAAAGACATGTTTAGGGAACAATCAGTAATGTGAATGCAAACAAAAGACTTGTCCTACTACCAACATTTAAACATTGAAAACTTAATATGACCTAGTTTTGCCAACTTATACTCTACATCAGCAATATTAATCATTTACTGTGGCTAGTAGTTCCTAGTTTTTTACTAATATTGAGACTAAGTTAATATGCACATTGACATTGTAATGTATCTCGTTACACTGTCATCGCTACTACCTCTGCTTTTACCACTCTTATTTATTTATTGTGTCTATTTTTTACTGCAGTGAGAGTTGCCAAATAAATGTATATTAGAAAGATATATTCTATTCTATTTTACAAGATAGGGTTTTATACGGGGGGCATTAAGCATCAAGCATTAGTGCATTCACAATGTAAAATATAGCTACGTAGAAGGCAGAAACCTTTTACTTCCAAAATGTGGTCTTCTCACCTCATGGCTACGTTGCTTCCATCAACAACAACTGGTCTGAGGTTCTCTTTGTCGTCCAGAAGCTGGGACGGACACAGCATCCGACAGGAGTCCAGAGAGGAGTTGTTAGAGGAGGCGAAGGAGCCGTTCAAAGAGGACAAAGGAGAGGAGGAAAGAGACTGGGAGGCAGTGGAACCTCCTTGTTGCTCCATCTCTGTCTTGGTTCCCAGTTTGACCAGCTCACCCAGGATGTCATTGATGAGTGCGTCGGGGCCCAGTTTCCTCAGCACCAGCAGCACCAGCGCCTCAGAGTAGCCTAGCTTGAGAGCAAACTCCACTTTGGCGCGGTATTCTGTGGCGGGGTCAGTGGGAGATGATGTTTCTGGCTGTGGGGGGTCTGCAGGGGTTCGGTTCGGAGACAGGTCCAGCCTGACTGTCTGAAAGACTGAAGAGGACTCTTGGAGGTGTACATCCTGCTGTTCTTGCTGAGGGTTTGGAGTTTCTGAATTGGACCCATTCTGGAGCCGCTCATCGTCACTGTCAGAGAAGTTACTGCAACTACTGCTGCTGCTGTAGCATGAATTAGTACTAAAGCTTGTGCTACTGTTACTGCTGTTACTCTGGGCACCTTCTGTGACCTGTAAGACCCCTAAATTACCAGCGACCGTCACAGTGCTCAGGCCGACCTGCCGTTCAGCACCTTCCACGTGGAGGTAGTCCAGATCCAGCTCCAGGCTATGCATGTGGCCTGTTCCATCCTCCAGATGGTCCTTCACGCCCATGAAGCTGTCTCATACATCCAGCTCCACGTCCTCCGTGACCTCCTGAGTACCTGACAGACCCCACTGTTACTGCAGGTAGAAAACAGCTCACTGACTTGTTCTGGGAGTGAAGCTTGAGGGAGACACAAGAAGTGAATGGTTAAATTCCTGAGGACTGCATGAAAGGGTAATTCTCAACCCGGACAATTAGTCAATGTGTTTGTGCGACATCAGGTCAGAGGTATCACGTTCTCAGTGGAAAATGCGATACATTTAAAATCATATATGTTCCTTTTGCGATGCTTAATTTACACAAAAGGTGAACGTTACCTTGCAGTAATATGCTCACACTTCAGACCAAAGCACTCTAATCCAACCGTACATCATTTAAAAGATTGTTTTTTTCTGTTTGTTCTCTATACTGCATTCCATATTTCCCCTAGTAGGATAATAAAGATGAAATTAATCCGTACAAAACATGGTCCATTATATAGCAAGACTGCTGCAGCCGGCAGCCATGAAATTGGTTGCAATGCACCTCCAATGCACGCCTAAAGTTGCAAGTCGTATTTTTGCCACTGACAGACTCGGATAGTAATCATCTGACAACACTAGGGAAAGGACCCCACAGAGAAATAAAGTCATGTGTCCCTACCTTCAGGATTCTCTCAGATCTAAAGGGCGTCTGGCTCACATTGTGATCAAATCTAAGTCAAAACCTCTGAGTTAAAGATCACCTTTATCCGCCTCTCCTGCCATCTCAAGTAACCTCAGCAATGAGAACAACTCCAGTTACCCTCTTCATCAGAAACAAGGAAATAAGTAGAGCCCATTGTCTTTAAAGTCTGGCAGCTCCAGCTCCAAGTGTACCGATTGAGCCCTCACAACAGAATTGACTAAATACATTAGGTAGAGTTCTTAAATGCAAGTCCTTTGATGATGCATTGAATACAGCAGGCTTTTAAAGGTAAAGGGGCAAGTTGGAACTTCCCTTACCTGCCTTCCCACTTAGTTACTCATTTGCATTTTAGCAATGAGGAGCATCAATAAGACTTGAGGCCAGAAACCTGAGCCAAACTGCTCTGATGACCTCTATAAGCATGTTCCTCCCCTCCCATTGCACATGCCATGATGGGCCTGCTTGTGTATCGCCAATTGCAAAACCCTCATTGGCTGTGAGCTAAAAACACAACATACTACAGAAAGGCTTTCAGCCACTCCCAGTTATTTATGAATCCAAAAACGTGTGAACAGAGCTTTAGCCTTAGGCTGCAGATTATAAAATGTTACACGTGTGAAGGAACCTTTGCCATAACAAACATTCATTAATCCTCATGACTGGCTGACGTTTCTGGTCAAACCTGCAGAACATTACAGCAACAGATCAGGAGCTGGAAGTCTTGTTATCTAAAGGGACATTCTCCATTTGTCTGAAAGGTACAACTGTATTTTGGGGGAAATGTTGTCTTATAAGGAATGCATCATATTATAGTGACATTTTCCAATTTACAACACATAACCTGTTACTCAAGAGTGTTGTGTTAAAGGTTTTTTAAGATGCCTAGCCTACAGGGATCTTTTTGCTTTGTGTGCTGTTTCACAAACACCATTTTTAAATGTTATCAGCAGTTTAAATGGTCATTATTAATGTAATCGCTGCCATTGTAATGCATCAGGCCAAACTGTACCTCGTGAAAATGAAACCAAAGCATTGTTAAACCGCATAAAGCGTGATGTTTTGAACACAAATAAAATAACGTCTTTAGGTTTAGACAACACAACTGATGTATAGTTTCTTGAAAGGATTGTGTTTTGGGTCAAAATAACTGCCAAACCAAGTGAAACACATCAACAACACAATGTTGTCCTTCAGCAAACACCAGCTTCCTGGATGAAAGTCATGTGTTTCATGCTATCACCTCAACAATGGAGCGGCTCCACCTAGCAAAGATCTACTCACATTGAAGTCACAGCAGGATTTACAGGCTTTTCATGAAGGATTTAAGAACCCTTAATAGAATAAAAGGTCCATAGCCTCTTTTCCTTTCCAGAGTGTGGTTCACTGATTTGATAAAACAAAGAGGGAGCTGTTAGGATATTGTATGGTGACCCCTTTTCAAATAAACATGTGTTGCTTGCTCCTACATCTCTCACACAAACACACATAGCTATACTTAACAAAGGTCTCCTTAAATGATCTGTATCCTCGGATCTAGTTCAGTCTTGTTAGCTTGATGCATCATGTTCCCTTAGTGCAACATCAGGGCTTTTGTTCATTGTGGTGCAGATTATGAAAAATGAGAACAATGGGCAAGGTCCTTCTTACAGTTGCCTCTACTTGTCTTTTCGCTAAAAATGATTTAAAGTCAAAGATCGGTGCTCACTGGATCCAATGCATTTAACACCGGTTCACAAAAACAACAACCAGTGTCAGTGTTTGATTGTTAGGTTATTTATCCGTGGAAATACCCATGAGGGGTTTTTCCAAAGCATCAAACTGATACCAGGTCTGTAGTGAAGCACTTAAATGAAAGCAGTGTCTGTCGAGCATTTCAAGAAATAATTGAATTGGAATAAAACCTTTAATAGTGCTGATTTTGCATAAGACAAAAGAGGCTGTGCAACACAAATAATACTTCAGCAGGAAATATAACGAGACTGTTTTTACTATGCTGAGTGAACGTGAAGTTTTCCATGATTACCGTGAGAACAGCTACTTTAAAGACGTCTTAGCTTACTCATATTATCCCTACATTTTGATACATACAGTACAACCATCTTTTTAAAATACAAATATATGCTAGTGTCAATTTGGATACTTCCATTAGTGGACTTTCCTGTCGTACACTGTGTTCTTTCTTATTGAATTTGGACTGGGTGGTGGGGTCTCAAATCGAACATGGTTGCTGGACACTAATTCGAAAATAGTTAAAATCATTACAGAATGCTACATTTACCAAATAGACAATTTATTTCTAACACCAGTATAGTTGAACGTAGTGAATGCAATTTGTATTGATGCAATCATAAGGGTCCAAGTTTTTGACATGTACAAGTAAACCGCCTGGGTACTCATAGTGCACTGCAATTTCGAGATACAGCAATAATCTTGCTCTCTTTAACATTAGTACCTGAACAATAAATGACTTTAAACTAAGTAAGTAAAAGTTCAGCGCCCTAACCCATTTTATTTAGGCACTTGAAACACAATCTTTATCAACCATTCCCAACAAATTGAGTCAAAAGTCTCTTAGCTAAAGCACCGGAAAGCAGGGTCCTCTTAATGTCTCGACCCCGACGTCTCAGCTGCCACGCCACTGTTTGTCACCCTGAATGCCACAAGAGAGCTGGAATAATTTACTTCACCAACAACAAAAGACGCACAAAGGGAAAGAGTGAGAGTGTGTGTGAGTGTGTGTGTCAGGGGGTGGGGGGGAAGAAGTGTGTCTGGCTTGCCGTCCTTCAACAATGCAGCTGCCTCCCAATCTGTCCCCCTGTGACGGTGGTATTGTTCTCACTCCCGAGCAGCGTGCACAGACGGAGGCTGGGGGGCTTTTTAAACCCGTTCACCCCCCACACACACACACACACACACACACACACACACACACACACACACACACACACACACACACACACACCAGCCTGGGTCACAGGTTGCCAGACGGAGACTTTGAGGAGTCAGCAGAAATATGAAAGTGACACAGCGAGTGGGAATGGCCTCGTCAGAATCAGACTGTATGCATTATCATCGCAGTCAATATGGCTCTAATTCCTCTGCTCTGACTTTACAAAAATATGTAAAATAAGACAAATATAACATCATATTGGTGGATCTACTCTAGAAGCTCTCCGATGGTGAAAAAAGCCCAAATAATCAAATCCGGAGGACAAAAAGCATCTGCCGTAGTTAATGAAAGTAAATTACATTAAAGCAAATCTCATTTTGGAAAAACAGAAGCTGTTTTCGAACAATTACCACATTATAAACGTACAATAACATCACTGTTGTGCAATATGTGAAAATGCTGTCCTTAGTTCTTTGTGCACTACCCAATACTGTAACTACAAAGTTGTAATATAACACAGCAAATATAATGCGTACTACATTCATCTAGCAGCTATTTCATTACTTCCTACTTATTCACTTCGTTTTATATAACGTTGCTGCTTACCCTTTTAGTAATTGGAATGTTAAATAATTATTTGATTCTTAATGTGTGTTATTGTGTGCATGCCACTTTACTAAACAATGTTTTAATGTGTCTTTATCAGTAGTGTTTCTTTGCTATATCAATGTAACATTCCCCTCTGTTGGACTAAACTACCTTTTGTTTCGTAATACAACCTGAAACGTATTAATGCTCATCACTTACGATTTAGTAAAGTGAAATATTATTGTCTCTTATTATTTCGCAGTCTTTCCACAGCAAATACTAATTATATTTTCACTGTTTTAGTTCTGTTTCTTCTATTTTAAGATTGTTTAAATGTTTATTTTCTACTTTTTTGATTTCTAATAATGTGCAATACTTTGTTTTACATCCTGCTGCAAGGAAAACATTTCCCAATTTGGGATCAATAAAGTATATCTTATCTTATCTAATACTATAACTGTGGCTGCTGTGGAATATTACAGAAGTTGCATTTTCTTTTGTGAAGAACTTGGATGTTGACACAAAATAGCTTTAGCGAAATGTCACAAATGAACACACAATGATCTACAGAAACCAAACTATGGGTACAAAACCAAATGATGTTCATTATGGAACGTTTTATAACAATTTTTTGCTTTCAAAACTCTTTTTGAAAGAATATGAATGACTTTTAGTGTAATTTAATGTACTGACATGTTGGTGATATTGATATGGAATTAAAAACAGTTTATCCCAAAATAAACTTTATAGACTTTTATAAAACTGATCACTTTCTCCAGTAAAGACCTGCTTTAAGGGTTTTGCGATTATATACATCTGCACAGGAAGAAATGATGTATGTTTGGGTAGATTGTGCTACGAGCTGATGTGGAAATGATTGCTGTACAGACTGACAATCTGATATCAAAAATAACATAAGAAGCCTGTAATCGCTGGTTTATGGTGTTCTCTGCAAATCAAAACTACAAGAATATTGATTTACAAAATGGATTTTCTGTATTTCATTCGATATCTTTCAATGTCATATATAAAACAGAATGAGTTGTAATTTGACCTGTTTTTGGTTTCAGCAACAAACAATTAGCGACTTTTCTGTTGAACAAAATCGCTGCAACTGGTCGTCATTTATTTGCATAGTAATTCAGATTTGTTGGTTGCAAACTCAACATGACGTTTTTAAACGTCCTAATGTTATAATAATAATAATAATAGTTCATAAAGATTATTTCAGCTCAGAAAGGCTTCTCAATCTTAGTAAAAGGTTTTTAAACAATTACCACATTATAAAAGTGGTAATATATATATATATATATATATATATATATATACCTGGCTGCTAAATCCTCAGAACTGTTACAGGATGTGTATTTTGTAAATTGTGTAACTTTTTTTTATTATAATTGATGCATGCTTCTTAGGTAACATTAAGCTGTCTTTGGCTCTGCTGTAACAATGTGAATGTCCCCTCTGTGGGACGAATATAGGTATTCTGATTCTGATTCCATTTGCCAGGGTTTGGAATCCAAGTCCGTACGAACATAAGGAAAGAAAAACTCATCTACCAAATAATTTCTCTATAGGTGTGTAAGTGGGTGGGGGATCTTTCCACAGTGAGCAGATGCTTCGGCCTCCACCTCAGTGACCCAGCCTGCCTGCACTCTGTATCTCAGTATGTGTCATGATGATCCCCGGGTTAGCCCCCATGGGGGAGTGTATGGAGGGATGATCCCCCCCGAGGCAGACCCTGACCGGTCCCTCAGGGCCGACGCATGGCTGCCATTTGCCGGCTGAGCCCGGAGAGCCAGTCTGCCACACAGAGACCGGCTGGGAAGGGGGACAAAGGGGGTGTTCAGGGTTGTGGGGGGTGGGGCTATATATATGGGCAGAGGGGGCAACAGATGCCTCCTGAAACCACAGGGGACCTCCATGAAAGCATCCCCCCCCCCCCTCTCCTGCAACTGGTGGTGTCCAGATTCAGCCTCAGTGATACATATCACCACTGTCTGTGGGTAGCACTCACTTTCACCTCTCAGCTGTGCAGACTCTCAGTCCCTTACGTCTTTTTTCTACTCCCCTGTTACTGGACCCACGAGCATATTTCTTCATATTTTGTTCCGCAACCATCACTAAATACAATATATCCTTATTGGTTTGGGATTGACACAATCACCACAGTAAAATCCTAACTAAAAACCCACCTGTTCAAATAAGTCCTGTAGTGCTCACCATCATCTTCTGTTCCCATCATTTGTGTCCACTTTGATTGTCTTCTCCATGTTTGCCTGTTTGTGTTTTTATCATGGTTTGTTGCAGTATTTATACAATTGTACGGTGTCCTTGGGTGACGTGAAAGGCACCCTTAAAAAAACTAGTACTATTATTATTATTTATTAAATTCGAGTGAAATTGAACTTGTTATTGCATTGTTGGGGACACCCAAGGAATGTCACACAAAGCCTTTCCGTCCACCTCAATTTCACTCATGAACACACTTTATATATCTACTTAAAGCTTCCTAAGTGAATGGAGCATAAACTACTTGGTAAATTGAATGGCAACACATCCAATAGTTGAGATTTCATTCTAGAAGTTGTAGACGAATGGACATTGCTACCATCTATTAGCATAGCTTAAACATACTATGCTTTTATTAGAGGCTTAGTGTGTCTATAAATACATGTTTGAGTGTTTTCGTAATATGGAGATTTGAAACTTTTAACATGTAAAACAGATTTAAGCTAGAGACAAAAGATCATCACAACTTTGACAGTTTCTTTGGCTGGCTAACTCTTTGCAGTTGTTGAGATTTGATAAATGTTATGCTGGAAGTTGTAGACGGACGGACATTGCTATCTGTTAGCATTGCTAAAACACACTATTCTTTAATTAGGCTTTGCGTTTCTATAAATGTAACTGTTTTAGTGTTATCTTAATGTAAAGATTTGCAACTGTTAACATGTAAAACTGATTTAAACTAGAGAAAATAACTCAACCATCAGAATAACTTTTACAGTTTCTTTGTCTGGCTAACTCTTTGCAGCATTTTGGTCATATAAGCATACAAAAGTAAGCTGTTGTTGAGTTAAACTTATGAGTTAAGTTCAAACACTATATGTTTGTGGAGCATGATTAGGGACATTTCAAGACAAAAAAGGATGTGAACAATGCAAAACACTACAACTTATGATAAAACATGATAAGGGTGCTTTCAGTATTCCTTAATATGTAAACCCAGGGCAAAAGCACAAGAAAATAAAAAACACTTACCTCACAGCTCCAAGAAAACAGAAACGCAGCCAAACAGGGAAGGCAACAACTCCTACAAATTCTTTCCAGCAACGGTACCTTTGGTCATTCCAACAATAAAGCACAAAGTCAAAAATAACTTCAGGGGGAGTTTCCCAATAATGGTGGTTGTAAATTAAGCCCAAAATTCCTTATTCAAGCAACATCTCAGTATCCAATCTCCAGTATCCAGTACTTAAAGAGTTGGAGAAAGTAAAGCTTTGATTCAATCCAAGAGTCTGAGCAAAATTAGTTTCCTGGTAGCAGCAATCCTATGAGAACAGCCTTGTTTTTGGTTGAGAAGCAGAGTGCAATGTCCTGAGGCGGCAGGTTAAGCAGTGTGACTGACAAACAGATGGAGTGTAAAGCATCTAGCAGCTTCCTCCTCCTCCTCACACTGGGTCTGCCTCCTGACCAATAGGAAGGCAGAGATCTGACCACAGACACACACGTCTCACTTTTTCTGTCTTCACTGTAGATTATGTACACACACACACTCACACACACCAATCACCCCTCTCTCCACCAATAGAAAGGGACCCTAAGATAAGCAAGGATATCTCCTCCCCCCACCCCAAACTTCACACACACACACACACACACACACACACACACACACACACACACACACCACCAGCCCATCCGCCGGCTTGAGCCATGAATGGACGAGAAGGCGTGAGTTGACAATGGTGGGGAGGGGGACACAAAGGAGGACCCTCGGCGGGCAGCTGCACACACTCTCCATGCTCAGGGCCATTACATACACACATGCACGCACACACACAAACACACACACGCACAAATACAGATACATGAGGAGAAAGAACGAATGAAAAAAAACCACATAGGACCGAGGACTGAGCCCTGTGGAACACCTGGCCCGCTGGGGACGGCTGCCGCTCCGACCTCTTTGTTTCACGGTTGGGGGATTGGCTTGACTCAGACAATGAGACAAATTATGTTAAAAGTTGTGTGTGTATGTGTGTGTGTGTGTGTGTGTGTTCATATGTCTGACGGAAAGTTAGCAGGTGGAGTAGGAAGCTGTGAAGGGTAAAAAGCCTTGAAACTAACGAGGTGCAGTAAAGAAAAAGAGTAGGAAAAGGAGTTAAAAAAGAGAGGGGAAGGCTTTATTGTTCGGACACAGGCCTGACAAAATGGCGGGGTCTTTTCAAAGGCCTCAGATTGTGAGGAGGGGTATTACTTAAAGGCTCAGAGTAAGTCAGATACAAAGACTGGCTGCCTGTCAGGCTGGACTTAAACAGGTCCAGCAACCAGGCTATTTTAACTTCAGAAAGGAGGAGGTTTATTATTTTTCCCAACTCTGCCAATGGAACAAAACATGACTTACCCTTCATAGAAAAGGGTGTGAATACATGCCAAAACAAGCTGTCAAGAAGAAATAAAATCCTTGTGCAATAAGCGAGAAATGCCTTAATATAATACGATTATACAACAAGTAAATCAATAGAGCATTACTTTGGTAAAAAAAAAAGGGCAATAGTATATTTCAGAGCAAATTATCATTATGCCAAAGTAAGAATAAGTGCCTTTCTTAGCCGCAAGATTAAGAGTCTACAGCAGCTCTGTGGAGCAGTGATTTGAGAATTGTTATGTACTGAAAGCAGGCATCAGTTTTATAGTCTTTGTTTATATTTTATTTTCCTGATTTACATCAAATGTTTGCTAGTTTACTTATTGCAACGTTCTTGGACAGCTTCTTGTTTTAGATTAAACTAAATTACTTTCTTGCAGTTTAATCTCAATTTCAATGTCAAGATACCCAACCATAATTCAACCTTTTGTAGTTTACAGTTTGAACATTTACTTGCTTCTTCCTGTCTTAAGTGATTTTTGTAATGGTTCCAGTTAAGACAATTTGGGTAAAATGTTTTCACAGCCGTGCCGTCACAGTCTGAATGAAAGGGGATGTGTGGGACGTATTCCATTTAAAATGAAAATCTTTAAATGTCACCTATGTTACCGAAAGTCCTTCACTGTTTGCGGGACCTGTTGGAGCATCATGCACAGTATATGACTTTATATATCCAGCCCCTAAGCCAGGGGTGTCAAACTCAAGGCCCGTGGGCCAAGTGCGGCCCGTGACTTCATGTTATGTGGCCCCACAAGAGCTTGCAAAGAATATAATATGTTTATTATACGTTTAAATGCCGATTTACACATTGCCCATAAACTACATGTCCCACAATGCATCTCAAATTTGACCTTTTTCTCAGAATTTGACTTTTATTTTTTTAAGTTACATTTTTTCGAAATGTTTTTAAGACTTAAAAAAACTACAACTAACCCTACAGTTAAAAATATGATTGGTGTTTGGCAGGAGGTTAACAAATATATGAATGAACCTTCTTCTCTCTCCTGGTTCAGCCCGATCTGGGGAATGCCGATGGAGGTTTTAGACTATGGGCTGAAAAGGGGGTGGGACAGTTAAAAGACATGTTTGGAAGTGATAATGGGAAGTTGTTATCATTTGAGGAACTTGTCAGTAAATACGATATCCCTCGTAAACATTTTTTTAAATATTTGCAACTCAGGAGCTTTGTAGGTGCGAACCAGGATCGACTCATGCTGGCCCCTCCTCTGTCCATATTGGAGAAAGTTTTAATTAAAAACCCCTTTGGGAAGGGCATCATATCTGAATTCTATGATCTCCTGCTGGCGTTCTCCTCAGAATCCTCGAACTCTAGACTCAATGCCTGGAAAAATGACTAACAGGAAAATCTAACATTGGAACAGTGGAGCACAGCTTGTAAGGCGGTCCAAACACAGACGGGTAATACACGTCTAAAGCTTCTGCAATACAAGTGGCTAATGAGAGTGTATATTACACCAGAAAAACTGAATAAATGTAACGCTAATATCCCAGACACGTGCACCAGATGTGGGGAAGGAAAAGGCACACTGTTCCATTGTCTATGGTTATGTCCAAGAATAAAGGAATTCTGGGAAGAGGTTAGGGTAACAGTACAGAATATTTTAGCGATCAGCTTAAAGCTGGAACCCAAAATGTTCCTACTTGGCCTATATCCGGATGGACATAACATACAACGTTATAAACAAGTTTTTATAGATATGTGTTTATTACAAGCAAAAAGAGTGATTGCCTTAACATGGAAAAAGTTGGGCAAACCTAGTATTGCACAGTGGTTTAGGGAACTTTCTCTATGTCTGCCTTTAGAAAAAATCACTTACATTCTCAAAGACAAACAAGAACTGTTCCAGAAGGTCTGGGGACGTTTTATAGAGTATACCAAGAACAACGACCTATCTCAATTTCTGAACGAACCTGGGGCAGGATAATGCGATAATGCGATAATATGCTATAATATGTTAAAATGTAAATGACTGTGATATCCTCTGTAGAAATACGGTCCTATTGCTGGAAAACTGGATGGTTGCGATGTATTAGAGTGCCCTTGTGGTATGTACCAATTTAATTTAGTGTTGCTACTTTTCTTTAATGTAAAGTAAAGTAGTTGTCCTGTGTATATATGTATTGCTTTTGGCTCTATGTCTTCGTCCTATGTATGTGATTTTTTGTAAGCTGAAAATCAATAAACATATTGATAAAAAAAAAATGTTTTTCCAGAATTTGGCTTTTATTTTTAAATCATTTTGTGACATGCTCACTGAAGAGACTTGCAGTTATTTCCCCTAGACTTCTGCTTTCAGACGTAGTTAATTATGAAGTTATACCCTATCCGATAATAATCCAATGCAGGGGCAATGATGTAATATAATGCATTATTTTAAATATATTAAATATTTATATATGTATTTTTATAAAGCTTAAAGTTACAACCGGCCCTTTGAGTGCAACCATAATGTTGATGTGGCCCGAGATGAAATTGAGCTTGACACCCCTGCCCTAAGCCATTTTCAATATTTGTGCCTTTACTTTCTGTTCCCTTCAGTGTGCATGTGTGTGTGTGTTTAGTCTTAATCCACAATATTTATTCATCCATAGTTGAGCCCTTAATTATAGTTATTGCGGTGAAGTTCATTGGAATTGAATATGCAAATGTGCCTTCTTTCTTTTTTCTCAGTTTTATTACATTACATTATTCTGGCTTAGTTTACCCAACATGCCTGCAGCGGTATTTAAACGTGTCCTTTTTTACTGTCTTCAGCATCATTTAGAAGTGTGTTAACACTGATGTTTTAGAGTAGACTCAAGCTGATTTTGACCTGATAAAAAATAGATTATTGGTAAATCCTGTGGTATTTGTTAAATTAGACAGAGTGAAAATGGTGGCATGCGATGTAGACATCCTTGCTCAAAACTGTAGGTTACATAAAGAAAATCTCCATGTTTTTTTGGAAAAGGCTTGCTCATCTTTTTTAAATGAGGCCCGTAACTGACAGTAAAAATAGTGCATTGCATTTCACATAATTAAGTCAAATGTTTTTTTTAAATGCAGTAGCACGTGGCTTAATTTAAGCATTTATATCTCCAATTTTCTTCTTGTTTTGGGTTTCTATCTTTATGATTTATTGCACCTATTGTAAGTTGCTTTGAATAAAAGCATCAACTAAATGAAAGTTAATTTAGTTTAAATAAATCCTGCAATAATGCTAGTTAATGTAATAATGTAGAATACGCAAATGATTTAAAGGTCACCTATCATGCTATTTTTAGGCAATAGCATAGGTCTCAGATATATCAAAAATATATTAAAAACATGTCTATGAAGTGTTTTGCTCAAAATACCAAACAGATCACCCATTCTAGCCATGCCTCATATCCCTCTATTTCACTTCCTGTTTCTAAAGTGCTGATTTTGGGTATATAGCTTTAAAAAAAAAGAAGTGATTTAAAAAAAATAGGAGCAGAGCTTATGCGGGAGATTCTACCGGCAGCTACCGTCTAAACTAAATGCTGCCGTGATGAAACGCCATATCATGGATTATCAAGGGTTCTCTCTGAAACAGTATGGAGCTCAAAGGCTTTCTCTCTTGCCGGTTATACCACAAGGTGAGTTCCTTTTTACTTCCTGCTTCTTCACACACATGCTCTCCAGTACAGGTTAGCTCTGAGTGTTAGCGATGCTAATGTAAACACCGACCATATTACGTCCAAAACAGTCGGGCATTGTTTCTGATAGCAACGTTTCTGATTGGGCCGTGGGTCCACATTTCAGATGTTACGTCATATCGGACGCAAATCTGGATCAGCTCCGTTGTAGCCCCATTTTTAGAGATTTGGGTACGGAGGAAAAGAGAGAGGGTTTTATTTTCTGACGCTGCGTGAGTTCCCTGACACACCGGGGACACATGTTTATAAAAGACATCACAAAGTGCATTTTG